ATAAATAAAATAGAATCCGGTTATAAGACTCCGCTTATATCTACGAAAATTCTGGTCCCAGACAAACTTTTATAGCGCCTTCCGGGTATAACGACGGTCCCTTGAGTGTCGCTATAACCGGATTCTACATATATTGTTATATAGTATATATATTAATTTATATTTAGTATTACCAGAAAAGAAGCCAAAAATATTGCGCATTGTATTCAGATTCTCTTGAAAATATTCATAAAATTATATGTCATGTATAAATCTGAGAGTCTTCTCTGTTATAATGAATTACTTAGTTTCAGCGGAACTGAATGTACACTATATACATAGATGACTTATCAGCTAAATTCAAATAAAGTTCTCAAAGCTTTTCGACTTTTATTTTGCTTTGTTTATTTACTAATATAAATTCTGCTTAAATACATATATGTTTGAATGAGAATATGCATTTCATACTGGTGCTGATATGGGCCTTATCATGAGCTGTACGAATTTGAGCGTTTCTTCGAAGCCATGCCATTGCTGCCAGATGATGCCTTTGCCGCGTGTACTGATGCTGAGCTGCCTTCTCTTAAAGTACTTGCCATTGGGATTGCTAAGTAAACAATAAATACTTCATCATTAACAGAGAGGAAGAGAGAGAGAGAGAGAGAGAGAGAGTGAGGGAGAAAGACCTACCAGAAAGCCGAGCAGGAGGCGTACCACCAGGCGCTGTGGTATCTGCGGGCGCAGTTGCCCCCCAGCCAGGTGTCGTTGTCCTTGTCGGCCGTGGAAAACCTCTGCAGGACATTCAGGGCCATCGAGTTGCCAGCGGTGCCCTCGTACTCGCCCAAGGACTTGAGCTGGTAGAAACTCTCCTCGCTGCCAACGCTGAAGTTATCGTAATGCGCATAGCGCACCTCGCCCTCAAAGTCCTCCAGGTAGACGAAGAGCTCGAAGCGGCGCAGGGCCGTCAGTCGATGCAGCTTTTCCAGTCCGATGAAGAACTCGCCACTGAGCGAGCCGAAGCCAGCTCGGTACTCGGTCCAGTTGCGATAGAAGTCAACGCTGCCATCCATGCGCCGCTGAATGACCAGCCAGCCGGAGCCGGCAAAGCGCGCATCGCACGGCACATAGAAGGGGTCCTGCCCCGGCAGCCTGATCCTGTAGATGCCCGTGGCACTGCCAAAGGGCAGACAGCTCTGCGGCAAGTACTCCTCCAGCTCCGAGTCGTAAGCCCTCAGCTTGAGCTGTGCTGCTCGCAGATTCAGCAAGTTCTCTTTGCTCTGTGCGCGTAGCTCCAGAATTTCTTTGTCTTTCTCTTTCAGCTGCAACTGCAACTCCGAGACTTGAGTCTGTTCCTCCCCGCCCCCAGCTAAACTGATCCTGCAGCTAGTCAAATTCTGCAGCAGTATAGCTGAATGATCCTCACTCTCCTTGAGCCGCTCTGCCGCTGCCTTTGCCTTTGCCTCGCAGGCACTCAGCCAGCTCTTCTGCTCGCTGATGTAGGAGTCGCACGGCGCCTCAATCTGATCTGTGCTTCCATTTCTCACAGAGTTCCATTTGGCTTCCAGCTGCTGCAGCTCTTCATTGTTTAGCTCTATCAGCTCTTCCAGCTGATCTATTCTCACCTTGACTTCATTTCTCTCCGCGACAGCGGCTCCGCTGCTCACCACAATACACAGCCAAATATAGTATTTAAATATAGAATAATATGTGCTCATTGTGCGTATGTGTCACAAACTGAAACTCTAAGCTCATATTTTCATAGAAATCGCATTCGTATTTGGCGCAGCCTAAGAGAATTTCAATAACATTAAGCGCTATCAGCTGAATACACTGAGCAAAACTATTAGGTTCATGAGAGAACACAATACAAATAAATACTTTAATAAAAATTATTTGCATACAATACATAATATATAAGTAAATAAATATTTTTGAGGTCACAGAATATTTCAATCAAACTATTTTAATTTAAGTATTTTTTCCATTCATTGCACATTTGTTTTTAGCAACATTTTTATTATAATCCAAGTTCTTATACGGGTTCTTTGAAGTCTTTGAAAGATGCCCTTATTGGCATAACCATACTCCAAGTCCGCCTCGGTATAAAAGCCATTCAAATTGCTGAAAGTAATTAATATATATATTGTTAGTATATGATACTTAAATAATAAATAAGGTCATGCATATTAATAAATAGTAAATAATTTAGAATTTATGTATGATAAATTAAATTTAATAATGAACTTGAAACGAATATTATGATCAAGATTAACTCCAAAATATTTCCTCAAGTAGACAAATAAATGCAAAGTTTATCTATATATGTCTATGTATGTTTGTAAATATACAATATATTGCTCCAGTTGGCATACTGTAGTCGCAATGGTCATACCACCAGGCGCCATTCCGGAGCTCAGCGCAGTTGTTGAGCTCATCTGCATCGTTGTCTCGATCGAAGGTGGTGAACTTTTGGCCCCTGCTCAGGCGCATCGCATCCCTGATGCTTTCCGAGCAATAGCAGGGCATACGCCTCATGCTCGGAGCCTATTTTGAGGTCATCGAAACTGGCGTATCTCGTATTGTTGCTAAAGTCCTCCAACCAGACGTACAGCTGCTGGGGCGTGTCCTTAGTCATGTGATGCTGTCACTCCAGCCCAATGAAGAACTCGCCGGTGGCATTGCCGAATCCCCTCTTGTACTCGTCCCAGCTGCGATAGAAGTCCACCTCGCCGTTGTCCAGCCATTGCCGGTCAGTTGGCTATTGCAGAGGACTTGGAAGGGCTCCGGCACGCCATTCACCCGGATCACGTGCGCAGTGTTGGAGGCTCCAAATGCGAAGCAGCTCGATACCTGGCAGCAGCTGCCGTAGCCCTCGATGATTTCATTCAAGTTCTTGATACTCTCGTTCCCCGCACTGAGCTGCGCCTTCAGCTCGTCATTCCGCTTGCTCAGTGCTTCTATGGCAGCACTGGATCTGACTAGTTCTGCCTGCAGCATGTTGATCGTATTCCGGACTTGGCCCAGCTCTTGTAGGTGCAGCACATTTGCCTGTTTCAGTTCCAGGACTGAGCTGTTCTGCTTGCTCACAAGCTCAAGGCGTCTATCGTTTTGTTTTGTTTGTCGACTTCAGCTTTCCTCTCGCTCAGCTCACTCTCCAGTAGCGCATTTCGACTGCTTATCGCTGCGATGGTTTCATTACTTTCCCGCAGCTTTGTTTGTTCCCTCTCCTTCGCTTCGCGCTCACAATTAAATAGCAAATCACTTCTGCTTATAATTGTGGCCGTGTGCTCGATAATTGTACTCTGCAAATGTGTATTGTTGAACTGCAGATTTCGGACCAGCTTGGCGTAGATATTTATGGCCTGCCTTTGATCCTGAATTATCTTTTTAGCCACGCTCTGATATTGCATGAATTTATCTTGAATCGCTTCATATTTTCCCAAACCTGAGCTGGACTGCTGGGTTTCCGCTCTTGCTCTCGACCGACCAGAGCTGGCCACAACTAACAGCGCGAATATAGCAAACACACAAATTTCACTCCGCATCTCACTCGGCCTGTTCGTCAACTTGTTTTCGCATTTCGTGAAACATTAAAAAAATGGCTTGTGATATTTGCAAGCTCATAATTTATACAGTATATATACTTAGTAATCCAGATGATCTGACATTTCTCCCAAAATTACTGTACTAAATGAATATAGTATAATTTCAAAATAAATAAAACATTTATTTAGTGGTGATTAAATCCAAGTTTCTACTCTATTCAGCAGTTGTAAGGCTTGTCTTGGAATTTGAGTTTGTTCCGCGTAGGAAGGCTTTACTGTGGCTTATCTGAAACGTCTGTGAGTTCTCTGCATAAAGTATTTACGCTATACGATTTGTTCTGAATTACCAGCTTTGTATATATAAATATATATGCATGTACGTATTCTGATAAGCTCTGTGAGTTTAATACACATATATGCTCCAAGTGCATATTTAATATATGTTATATAGTATGTATATAAAATAGTACAAAATGTATGCAAAAGCTTTGCTTGCTGTTTGTATAGTAAATTAAAAAATTGAATAAAATCTTTTCATATTGAAGCTTTTAATACGCTGAAGCCATTGAAATCAGAATATAAATGACAGACCAAATAAAGTATATATATATTTTATAACAGGACGTTGAGCCGAATCAATTTAGCTATATGTCCGTTAATGACAGATGACGTACCATAATTATTTGGGGAAAATATACAAATAATTACTTACTGCAGTTATAATGATATACTGATATATAACAGTATATATCAATTATCTTTTCCCCAAATAATCATGTTATGTCATATGTCATATTAGTAAATAAATAATTAAGTAGAAAAGGCCTAATACAAAATTCTCAGTCAAAGCTCTTTAAAAATCTGTAGTTTAGTTTTTTTTTATATTTTTTTTTATTATTATTAAATTTAAGAGTACAGGACACATTGTCCTTTTCTACTTAAATATAATTATATTTTTATTATATGGAAATGGATTCTTTAGAGTTTAACATACATATGGGGAAAAATTGATATAAAACCCCCATAGAAATAGCTTAACTTGACTTAAAACTCGAATATATATCTTTTATTTACAGTGAAACAAATGAAAATAAGTGAAATTAAATCCAGATCCATTTAAGTGTCAACCCTTTTTCACATGGGATCTCTTTAATCATATTTCTTGTAATTCAGTTTAATGTCTTTTCAATTTGGATGTGCTTGACGCTTTAAGAGCTGCGGCGCGAGCGACGCCCGCATCAATTAAATGGTTATATTTTATTAAAAGTCTCAAACAAAAGACGCAATCGCATTGCCATGGCAAATAGATGGTGCAACTGAGCGTATACGCAACGTGCAACAGTACGCGAGCCATTGGAGTGTGGGCGTGGCAGGCAGGCGTCCTTTGGGAGTTGCCATAACGCTGACGCAGCAGCCCCGCAGCCAAGTCGAGACGCCGCGACGCCTGCACTTCACAGACAAGTGCTGTGGATGGGGCGTGGCGTGGCGTGGCGGGGCGTGGCGGGGCGCGGCAGAAGAGGAGCTATGAAGGGGCGCCTAGACAACGCTGTTATTTATTCCGGATTTGTCTACCTTTTTTATTTATGTTTGGCAGACGCCAATTTTCATGGCGGCGACGGCGGCTGAACGGCTTTGGCTTTGGCTTTGGCTTTGGCTCTGGCTCTGGCTCTGACTCTGGCTATCCAAAGGATGCAGCTGTGTGCAGGTGTGCAGGTGTACAGGTGTACAGGGGTTGACCACGTGATTCTGTGCGCCAGCCAAGTGGAAAATAAAAGAAATGCCAAGCAGCAGCCGACACGTTGTAAGCTCACCTTTGATTGTCTTAGCCCGGTCAGACTTGGCCAAGTAATGAAAGCTGCCCTCAGTTAAGGGTTGAGTTTGAGGAGAGACAAAGAGAAAGAGAGAGAAAGAGAGAGATGGAGTCGTTGGCTGTGCTGTAAATATTTTAGCTGCGAAAATTCTTTTGGTTTCTGCCTTTGTCTTCTCCCGCTCGAATTATAACGTTACAATCTTAAATTGTTTGTCATTGGGCTAGCCTGCGCTTAAAGCCAACTATTCTTGATTAAAAAACTTTTCGGCCAGCCAAAGCAAAACAAATTCAATAAGCGGCAGCTAGCAAAAATCAATAACATAAGCCGACAGCTGCCTCCATCGAAGTGGCGCGAACTAAGTAATCTAAGCCACAAAGCACAGCCGCAGAATGCGTGCGGGTGGGCGGTGGGAGGGGTGGCATGGCATCTGTGGCGGATGGAGAGGGGCACATAAATTCAAGATGTGGCCATAAGATTTATGACGATTGCGAACGTGGAATTTCGACAGAGTCCGCATAGACAAAAGTGGCCAAAAGAAAATGCCGCAACATTTGTGCGCGCCTCTGGCCTTTGAACTTCTTTGCGAGGGCGGCAGCGTGCTGGGCGTGGCCGGACAACAATTTACAGTAGGCATATAAAATGTGCATAAAAATTGAAACGGCTGGCGGGCGCACACAGCGTATACTTTACGCATTTTAAGTTTCAATTTCACAGCCGAATTTATGGGCATAAAAATGGCGGCATGGCCGTTTTATGGCCACTTCCGCTGACCAAGAAGCACCAAGGCAGCCGAAGCCCCTAAGTGATTTCTAACATAAAACGCATTAGAGTCAGACGTCAGACATCGGACATCGGACATCGGCCATCAGACATCAGACGTCAGACATTAGGAGTCAGACAAATATGATAAATTCCCTCTATATGTAGACGACTGAATGGCTTCAAATCGAAATTTGTCGCGCTTTTATTTACTACTCCGCCACTTGATGACGGATGCTGATGCTGAGTGATGCAAAATGCTTTCTTCCATGTCATCGGCTCCCCACGCCCCTCTCATGCCCTGCGCAACGAACTGTCAAAGTCGTTCGGGCCACGGTCTCATAATCCGGCTTATTATGCAAAGTAAATGCCCGCCCCCCGCCAGACATCAGATAATCTTGCTGATATTTCATTGTCGTCGTCGTCGAGGCTTGTAAATGTGTTAACAGCCACGCCTACTCCCCGCAGCCCTGTCTTACACCAATTGCGAAATATTTCCGTTTCCGGTTTGTTGTTGTCGCCGTTGCACCCGGACCTCGACCCGTAGCCGCTTATAATGCCGGACAATTTGCTCAGATTTTTCTTTTACGATGTGGCTCGTCCATACATATTTTCTTTTTCTTATACATCCGCCACATATATGGAAAATCTCGAATTTATTATACCCTCGTCCGATTGTCTCGCGCGTAATTTTCCAATTTCCATAAACGGTTTCAATTTCGCCATTTCCTTCATCTCTTTTCTCTCTCTCCTCTCCGCTTGTGTTTTATCATCGTGTTGATGTGTCGGACGAAAGGGTTTCGCAATTCGGCAACGGGTTCCCTTACGGCTCATTAACATATTAAATGGTTCCTTAAAGCTGATGGAGTATCAAATTATACGACTGTAGCCAAGACTATGCTGCATTATGGACACGTTACACTCCATTTCTATTACGAGTCCCAGTCACTGGGGCGACAGCCTCTCGACGGTCTTTAACATTTCTCTATTTCAATTTGCATTTTTATTCATTTTGTTTGGATCTCGCATATTTCGCTGTTATAAAAAGTGAGATTGCGGCAATCGGAATGACTTAGGGAAAGTCATTGCAAATATAATTTGCAATGAAAATATTTTATTAAATTATGACAGCCATAAAATTGTGCTATAAACAAAGATATTCAGAGTGTGAAATAGTTATACGGATTGGCAATTTAATCGAAGACACAAATCTTAATGAAAATAGTCATAAAAAGAAAATTTTTTAAATCATTGCTCTTCTCTCTATTCGGTTTCTTATTATTTATTAAATATACTAAGTTCATTTTCCTCTCGATGTTTTGATTGTATCATACAATTTGAAGCCAAAAAGAGGAGCCCCCATCCATGTTATATAGCGCATCACGCCTCAAAGTCGCAGCTTATGACAAAAGTGCTTCAGAGTTCTGAATCTCATTAAAGTGAACAATAAGCCGAACGAAAAGAAAAACATAAATCGATAATTATTTATATATTGTATTATTTATATCTGATTGTTCTCTCTTTAATCATGTATTCCATGCA